TGCTAATAGGCTTTTACTACATTAAAAAAAATGCACGTGCATTTACATTTTAACATAATTAAATCTAGGCTGTTGTCGGGGTGACTTTCCCAGATTTCCTACCTTTTTTTAAACATGATGCAGGGTAGTATGCAGAGTATCCCAGCCTATGAGATACTCCCTCATAAACACACACACACACACCCTGGCGGACCAGATTACCAGCTCCATAGGGCAAGAACCGTATCTGTCATCTCTTAAATCCCAGGGCCTGTCACAGCCCTGGCACATAGTGGGTGCTTGGAAAATGCTCAACTAAATGTATTCCATCTCCTCCATTTTTAACTTTTCACTATTCCCCAAATCCTGGAAGAGTGCCCTATAGGGGCTGCTGGGGCTCCAGGGCCTCCTTGCTGAAGCCCAGTTCATTGTTATATATAAGAGCATAGGCTCTGCAGTCACATTAGCCCCACTTTCAGGTTGCAGCTCTGTTGGCTACCAGCTGTGTGACTTTGAGAAAGTCTCTTGACCTCTCTGAGCCCTGATTTCATCTGCTGGAAAATAGAGATAATCATAACACTTATCTGCAGGATGGTTCTGAGAAGGAAATAGACCATAAATATATTACCCAGTCAGCCCAGTACCCAGAGAATAGGGAACTCTCAGTAAACAGTTAAGAAAGGAGTCTTTCCTCCTTCACTCACCTCCTACCCAGCTTCAAAGAGCTGGCAGCCTGCCAGCTGGCCTCCTGCCTTCAACCGTTTGCCAGATTTCCCAGGACTCTTCCTTTTTCTTGATTTATTTATATATTTATTTATTATTTTTTGAGACAGAGTTTTGCTCTGTCACCCTGGCTAGAGTACAGTGGTGTCATCATAACTCACTGCTACCTCAAACTCCTGGGCTCAAGCGATCCTCCTGCCTCAGCCTCTCAAGTAGCTGGGACTGCAGGCACATGCCACAATGCCTGGTTAATTTTCCTATTTTTATTAGAGACAGGGTCTTGCTCTTGCTCAGGCTGGTCTTGAACTCCTGACCTCAAGCAATCCTCCCCACCTCAGCTTCCCAGAGTGCTAAGAATACAGGTATCAGCCACCTGGCCCGGCCAGGACTCCTGCTTAATGTCTAGCCCATCATGGTTTAGGGCCCACCCTTCCAACTCACCATCATTCCCTCAACACCACCGCCCACCTTCACGGGGGGGGGGGGGGGGCCTGATCCTATGGTCTCCCCCCAAACCCTACAGCTCTCCTCCCTGCTACCCCACCCCCCTCTTGTCTGCTCTCGACACTTCCTCCCCATTGGGCCCCTTCACCTGGGCCTGAGACCACTGTCTGGGCCCAGTAGGAAGCTCAGTGAGGCTGGAGGTCAGGACTCCCAGGTTTCCATGGACACAGAGACGACAGAGGCCCCGTCCCTGGGCTCCTGTTCTCTCAGAGGAACCCCACCCTCAGCCCTGTCACAGAGGCAAGAGCAATCTTTAAATACTTAAATTCGATCATGACAACCCCCTTTTAAACACTTTAGAAGCTTCCGAGAGCTCCTAGGATGAGACCAAAATCACCACCTCCCCTTCCGGCAGCCATACTGACTTTCTCTTAGTCCTTTGAATTCACAGAGTTCCCTCCAGCCTCAGAGGCGTGGGCTCGCCCCCTCAGCACTACACCTCTCCTAGGTAACTTGATTTCACACCTCAACTTTTTATTTTGAAATGCTTCAAACCTATGAAAAAGTTGAAAGAATAGTATGATAAACATTTGAATGCATACTCTTTACTGTTTCTACATGGATTCACCAATTGTTAATATTTTGCATATTTTACTTTGTCTTTCTCTCTCCCTACACATTCACACATGCACACATATTTTCTGAACCATTTGAAAGTGAGTTGCCCACAGCATAACATTTGAAATATTTCAGTATAAGTCTCCAAAGAACAATAACATTCTCCTATATAGCCATAAAGAAATTATCACATTTGAGGAATTTAACATTAATACAATAATATACTAGTAGATTTTCATAAATATTTGCAATGTGTCATTTTGGCCGTGTGCGGTGGCTCACACCTGTAATCCTAGCAGTCTGGGAGGTCGAGGCAGGAGGATTGCTTGAGCTCAGGAGTTTGAGACCAGCCTGAGCAAGAATGAGACCCCATCTCTACTAAAAATAGAAAAAATGAAAAAATTAGCCGAGAGTGGTGGCGCATGCCTGTAGTTCCAGCTACTCAGGAGGTTGAAGCAGAAGGATTGTGTGAGCCCAGGAGCTTGAGGTTGCTGTGAGCTAGGCTGACGCCACGGCACTCACTCTAGCCTTGGTTGACAGAGTTAGACTCTGTCTCAAAAAAAAAAAAAAAAAAGAAAGAAAGAAAGAAACATATAATGTGTCATTTTAACCTGTTTTGTTTTGTTGTTGTTGTTTAAATCCAGAATTCAATCAGAGAAGCATCAATTGCATTTGATTGCCACGTCTCTTTCCTCTCCTTTACTCTATAACAGCCTCCCTACCTTTTTTTTAAAAAAATGACATAGATATTTTTCTAAAGAGTCCAGGCCAGTTGTCTTTTAAATTGTCCCACGATCTGGATTTGCTGATTATTTTCTCATGGTTAGATGCATGTAAAACAGCCTTGGGAAGAGTACTCCGTGGTGCACTTCTCGCTGCCTCACAGCAGGAGTCGTTCACTGTTGGTCTGTCCCATCGTCAGTGATGCTAAATTTGTCCATGTGGTGAAAGCCGTGTCCCCAGATTTCTCCATTGTAAAGATATTTTTTGACATTTGTGAGTAATAAACAATCTGTGGATAATATTTTCAGACATGTGGCAACCCCTCATGCAATTTTAGTATTTACTGATGATCCTTGCCTGGATCTGTTTTCACATGGGCAGTTACAAAGTGGTGATTTTCCGTCATTCCTTCCACATTTATCTGCTGGCACTCTCCTGCAGATCACCTGGATGATTTCTTCAGATTTGAATTCACTGTCTTGTCCTCAGGAAGCCAAGGCTGGCTGAGCTCTCCCTAACCCCGAACAGGACTCTCCTCACACCCCCTTTTAGCCCCTGCTCTTGGGCTCCCTAGCACTCGACACACTTGCTAGTAGTTTATTGTGTGATTATTTAATATCAGCCCCTCCGTGTGCACCATGAGCTCCATAAAGACATTTGCGTCATGTTCACAGCTATAGCCTGTGTTCACACCTAGCCCAGTGTCTGGTATACAGTGATTGCTCAACAAATATCTCTTAATAAATGGACACAGAATTCAAACTCTTCCCACTTTTGGGAAGGAGGAGTGAGATTCCAGCTGTCCCTTCCAAACTTAACTTTACGTTGGCTGTGATGGCGCAGAGGTCACTCACGGCAGCTGTGTGCTCTGTTTTGAGTCTGAGACTTAGTCCAGCTGCTTGGCTATCAGGAGATCAGGAGATGGCAGATTAGGAGACATTTTAGGCCGGGGACAGAGCTTAGAAAAATTGTGAAGTTGTTGGTTGTGTGTGTTTATGCACCCTCCCCCAGCACACACACACAGTCCACAGTCCACTAGTGTCCACACACGCCCCCCCACAAACACACACTTTCATGCCTTCAAGGCCTGCCCTGCAGCGCTTCCCATGGTGCCAAATCCTTCTTATCTCGTGGCAACTTAACTCTCTTCACCGGCCTCTTCCCGCTCATTCAGGCAACAAATGTTTATTGAGGAACTTCTCTGTGCCAGATGGTGCCCACAATTGTCTAAAGGGCAGACTGTGTGTGTGCCAGGGCTATTTCTCCTTCTCCCTGCAAACTGAAGTAATTTAGTTCCTGAAAGTTAAAAAAACAAATTATGCTAATTGTCACTATGGGCCAGGCATGGCGGTGCACGCCCGTAATCTCAGCTAGTGGGGGAGGCTGAGGTGAGATGATCCTTTGAGCCCTGGAGTCTGAGGCTGCAGTGAGCTATGCTTGCACCACTCCAGTACAGCCCGGGTGACAGAGTGAGACCCTGTCTCAAAAAAAGAAAAGAAAGAAAAAAGAAATTGTTACTAAGGGGAAAATCCTAGTTGAGTTGAAATTCCCCTTAGGATTCCTTTATAGTTTAGTATTTTTTAAACTTATGAATCATTTCATTTTGTTGTTTTTAGTGCTCAGAGCCTCTAAAAGTCTCGGTCAGGTCCAGGTGCCAGCTTCGTGCTGGTGCTTCAGTGGGAAGCAGGCAGACACGGTGCCACCTCACAGGGGTCAGTGTGGGGGAGGGGCAGACAGGTACAACAGCAGTCACAATGTGACTGGTGCCACCATGGGGCAGCCACTGGGGTGGGAGCACAGCAGAGGCACCTGACCCAGCCTGGGTGGGTTTAGGCCTCCACTCTGATAAATTTGATTCATGTGACCAAGGTCCAGGTGAAAGGGAACATTCCGGGGAACACCAGCTGCCCAGGAGTCGCAGCGAGAGGGGCCTGAGGAATAGGGAAGTGCCTCAGAAAAGGTTTGATGAGAGAATGTTTGAGAGTGGGTCTGGGGTGTTCTCGTAAAATAGCATGGGCAGGTTCTTATACACCCGTGGATTTTATTCTGAGGGCTTAGGAAGCCATTGAAGTGATCAGATTTAGATTTTAGAAATTTCTTCCTGCTCCAGGGTCTCTTGGGGCCTCCTACATCTTCCTTTCGGTTCTTTCTAGGTTCCCACCTTTTTCTCTAGCTCGGGAACATTCTCCCCCATTTCCTACCTTCGCAGTCCTCAGGAGGGTGGTCTGATCTCCCTCACCGTGACAGAAAGCCACACTCTCATGGGAGATATGGAGGTGTGCCGTGCATTAAATGCATCTGGGACAGTAGAGAGCTGGGTTTGGGGACTGGCTCGTGGGGATCTGGCTTCTGAAGGATTATATAAGCACCTCCTACTTTGCTGAAAGGAGCAGGTCTTGGGCATGGGGTAGGGATAGGGTATGGCAGTAGATTTGGGAGCCCTGGGAGGGGACAGGAGGGGCGTGAGCTGTGCTGGCTTGGGGATTGCGCTCACCATCCCACTCTCTCCCCAGCTCCCAAAATGGCGATGACACCGGCACCTGGCCCAACAACCAGTTTGACACGGAGATGCTGCAAGCCATGATCTTGGCCTCTGCCAGTGGTAAGTGGTGCCACCGTGTGGGATGGGAGACTGGGGCTCTGCTGAGCCTCCCGTAGTCACCGTGCCCGGAGGCGGGATATCAACCTGCGAAGTTTCTCCAGATCTTTCAGCTGCTCTGAGAGGACCTATGATGCCAGGACATAAAGCCAGGTTAAGGACCAGCAGAGGGCTTGGGTGTCGCAGGATGCCCAGAGGGGAGCGAACAAGGAAAGATCCATGAGCTGATGGAGGGAGTAATGGTTACAAGTCTGGCTCTGGGAGGGGACAGCATAAGTCAGGTCCTGGCTCTGCCACTTACTATCCTTGTGACTTTGATCAATTTGCTCAATCTCTCTAAACCTCCAGTTTCCTCAGCCCAGAAAAGGGGGACAGTGACCCCGAAGGGTTGTTGTGAAGATTAAATGAGATGATACCAGAGAACCGAGAGTACCAGGCCTGGCATGGACAGGCCCTCGTGCAATGAAAGTGGGTGTGGATGTTTCCAGCAGAGAGAACACACTCTGGTCAATGGAGACTCCTTCTCTTTTTGCTGCACCGAACTCCAGAGCAGGGTTTTGGTTTTCCCACAAGGTTAACAAAGAGTCTCCCCGCGTAATGGAAAGGCAGCCGGGGGTTGCTGTCCCTGAAGAGTCACAAGGGTCCTGAGGGGAGACGGAACATTATCATTGGTACTGACAAGCACAGGCTTTGGAGGCAGGCCGGGCTGGATTCAAATCCTGGTGCCACCAGTTAGCTATGAGTCCTTAGGCAAGTGAATAAGCCTCAGCTTCACTTACTATGAAATGGGCACAATATTAACAGCTCTCATGGTGGTGTTGTGAGGGCCAAATGTAAGGCCCTCAGCACAGGATTGGCAGAGAGGAAGGGCACAGTACATAGTGGATATAATTAATTATTATCCTTATTGACCTATAAGGGTGGAAGGTAGAATTAGAATAATGCCTATTAATAAGGACTGGCTTCTGGAGCAGCAAATCCTGGGTTTATGGGGAGGCTGGCAGAGGATTAAGGCATTGGCTTTATGGAGTGAACGCAGAGCCCTGCGCTCCAGGTAAAATCACAGTAATCACTATAATCACGCTTGGGCACATGCTAAACAAACTTTGTGGGCCTAGAGTCAGTTAATCCTCTTAACAGCTCTGCAAGGCAGGTCTGATGATTTACACTGGACAGATGAGAGAACTGAGAAGTCACTTGCCCCAGGGCCCCCAGTTTTTAGCGATAGAGCTAAGATTCTAACCCAGCTCCATTCTCAATTTCATGCCCTTTCCATGACAGTGACCATGGCTGCCTTTAGATCTAGCCTCAGTTTCCCTTTTAGCTTCCTAGGTCTAGAGGCTAAACTCCTCTTAAAGCCCTGCACTATTCTCCCAGATCAGTGTTACAAGATTCCCAGTCAAATTTTAATTTCAGATAAACAGCAAGTATTATTTTAGCATAAGTAGGTTTCAAATGTTGCATGAGACATATTATAATAAAAAAAATTACTCTTTATTTACCTGAAATTCAAATTTAACTGGGCAACCTGTATTTTCATTTGCTAACTCTGGCAACCGGAACCGGGACATCTATGAGGTTAGGTGGGGCCAGCCTGTGGCTGACGAAAGGCCAGAGGAAGGGCAAGTGGCAGGGGCTGCCAGCCTTCTGGGCACAGCTGTTCCAGGTCCGGGAAGGCTGTGAGTCTAGAGAGGCCAGATACTGAATTTGAATGAGGCAGGTGGCCGGGCCTGGGGAGATGCCAAGCGGGGCTCTCTCCAGGGAAGTAAACAGGTATATTTAGCTGTTGCGGTCTTGTGCCCTAAGGCCAGGAAGCAAGCTTGCTAGCCTAAATCCAGATGTTAAAAACAAAAATGAAATCAGTATTTATGGCCAAAAACCCTCTCAGCAGGTCCCCCTGGAACAGGGGTCACGAGGTTGGCTCCCCTCCCTTGTCAGGGCTCCACCCTTCTGGCCACTCAGGGCCTGACCTAGGTCTAAGCCTGGGCCCTGGGGAGTGGCCCCTGGGGGGGGAGGTGGCGGGTCAGGCCCTGCTCACTTTCACTTCACGCCTGCTTCCTAGCCCTGGAACCAGAGAGGTTCCTGGAGTCCAGCCCAGCCAGGCCTGTGGGGCTGCCGAGGGGGTGGGAGGGAGAGTGAGAGGCAGCCACACATGGGAGGCTTTTTAAATAAACATTTGGGGGGAGGCATGCTCTCAAGGAGGCTGCGGTTTGCAGCCGGACCAGCTCTGGTCTGGCTTAACCTGGCTACTCTGAGATGCTGCCTGGGCCCTGGGCCGGGTGGACTGGGAGGGGTGGGGGCAGGGGTGGGAGAGGTAAAGGGGCTGGGAGCTGAGTTTCCCTGAGTAGAGGCTGGCGCAGGGGAGGAGGCCAGCATCCATCCCCGCCTCCCCCAGACCAGAAGAGGCCCAGGTTCTTGCTGCTTTTCTAAATCTGTTTCTCCTTGGACCAAGAGAAAATCCCGGTCATTGCCCAACGTGGGCCTTGCAGGGAGTGGGGGTGTAGAGCCAGGGACCACTGAAGAACTGATTCTACAGAAGGTCAAGGCTGGCAATCCAACTTCTTCCCCTCAGATTTACAGATTTGAGGGGAAACTGAGGCCTGAGTAATGCAGGGCCTTGGCCTAGGTCATATAGCTCCTTAATAGCATGGCTGACCAGACAGAGACCTAGCGTCAGTCCCTTTCTATTACACACCGGATTCTCGGCTTCTCTCCCTCCTGGTCCAGCCCAACTCGATGGCACCCCATAATGTGGGCAGGGGCTGGCTTTGTCATTTTCACATATTCAGGTGCTTCTCGGAGCTCTTGGGTGCATGTAGGACGTGGGTGGCCCCCAGCTTCTAGTTACTTGGTCAAGCCCTTCCTGTATCTCAGTTTCTGCCTCCCTTCTCCCCGTTTCTCCCACATCTCTCCTCATTCTCTTCTGTGTGCACGAGGGTGAACACGAGACCACCCCCACCCCTCTCTGTCTCTGGCGCCTCTGCAGCCCCCCCCCAACCCCTAAATCACTCCGGATTCCGGGCTCTTTGAAGCCAGATCTGGGCCCCCTCCCCTCACCCCTTCCATTCCCAGGCAGCTGAGGCTGGAAGAAGCTGACGGCCGTGGGGGCAGGGCAGTCACGGACCCAGCTCGCTTTTGGAGTTAATTAGGGAAAACAGAGAAATGTCAGCAGAATGGAAGGGCTGAGGGCGGGGCTGCCTGGGGAAGGAGAGGAGGAAGTGGGCAGCTGCTCCCTCCCACCCAAGCCCTCTTCCCCACCCCCAGAAGGCCCCCAGCCTCAGGGATTTGGGACTTGAAATGGAGGCTGTAGAAACCGGAGCGCCAGAGTGTGGCGGCTGAAAGACTGTCGCGCATCTCTGCCTTCCCCCCTCGGTGCCCTCCCCCTTCTTATGGCGGCTTTGAAAATATTTCCTGTCTCTCTATTTCTCAATCCCTGGTTAGTGTCCCAGGATTACTCAGCCTCTCCGGCTTTAGTCACCCTCTCTCCCTGCTCCCAGGCTGTAGGGTGGGGGCACAGGGAGACTGGGAGGGAAGCTCTTCTGCCCGCCTGGCCTGGCCATTCCTGGGGCTTTAACTCTCTCCCTGCCACGGAGGGTTTCAGGGCCGCCAGCAGGGAGCCCTAAGGAGTCAGACTCCTGCTTCCTCTGGCCCCACGCCCCACCCAGTTAGGGCGAGCATGTGGTAGAGGTGATGACACACTGGATGACAGGCACACTGGATAGTGATGGCAGTGATGACGAAGGCAGCAGCAAACATCTACTGAACACTTACCTGGGCATTGAATGAAGCACTGTCACATTTAATCCTCACAAAAATCCTATGAAGTAGGTACTTCTGTGCTCCTTAACCTTTACCTGCATGCACACCACCTGGCGTCTTAATTGACATGCAGATTCTGAGAGTCTGCATTTTGAACACGTTCCCAGGTGATGCTGAGCTAGGGCCAGAGTGGGTCCTTCTGTGGGCCCAGTTTCTTCTGCACAGTGGGAGGTTGGGGGAGGTGCTCTTTGATGTCACCGAGCTCTGACACTCTGAGCCTATGCCTACAGTGCACCGGCTGTCTGGTTCCCTGGATCATCATCTCCTCCACCTCATAGAACACGGTTCCCCCATCTCCTCTCCACCTCCTTTACCCTCACAGCAGGGATAAGGTCCAGCTGTGGTGGCGGTGATTGTACCCCCAGCATAGGCTTAAATTAGATACACCTGAGCCTGAGTCCTGCTCTAACATATACTGTCTGGCTTGGCCTTGGGCTAGTCTTTTACCTTCTCTAAACCTTGGTTCCCTTGTACATAAAATGGGGATAAGACCACATACCTCACTGGGTTAGTGTGTTGAGGTTAAAACTGATTGTGCAGGCTGGGCTAGGTGGAATATGCCTGTAATCCCAGCTCTTTGGGAGGCCGAGGTGAGAGAATCACTTAAGACCAGGAATTTAAGACCAGTTTGAGCAACATAGCAAGACTGTCTCTAAAAAGAAAACAATTTTTTTTTAATTAGCCAGGGGTGGTGACTTGAGCCTGTAGTCCCAGCTACTTGAGAGGCTGAGATGGGAGGTTCACTTGAGCCCAGGAGTTCAAGACTGCAGTGAGCTGTGATCATACCACTGCGCTCCAGCCTGGTGACAGAGCAAAATCCTGTCTCAAAAAAAAAAAAAAAAAAAGTGATCATGAAACATCTAGCAAAGTGCTTGGCACAGAGTAGGCGGTCAAATGCAGTTATGAAATGAATGCTTGGAAGAGCACTCCCCGCCCTCACACAACCAATGACAGAGCGACTGCATACGTACTGTGCGCCAGGCGCTGGTTGGAGAAGGCTTGGAGCATGTACAAACCACGGTCACTGCCCTCCAGGAGCCCACGGCCGAGTGTGGAAGCCAAAGGCTCCCCTGGTTAGGGGAAGGATTTGAGAGCCAGTGTCTCGACCCTGGCTCAGGGAAGTACTAGCTAGCATGTTTTGAGCACTTACCACGTACCAGGCACTATTCTAGGTACCTTACATACATTTTCTTCTTTAGCCTTCACCAAAACCAGAAGAGGTGGATACTATTATTATCCCCATTTTGCAGATCAGAAAACAGAGGCAGCATAGGGCGGTTAGGTAGACTTGCCCAGGATCACAGTTAGTGAGAGAAAGAGCTAGGAACCAAACCTAGGCTTTCTTACTCCAGAGCCTCTTAACCTATGCCCTCAACTCCTGGATAGAGACAACCTAGGTGACTACTGTATTCACAATGCTCAGCATGGTCAGGGCTCAGGGTGCTTTGTAGACATTCATTAACTGCTTATGGTATAAGAGAGTGACAGTTAAGGACCCTAAGTGTAACCCCCAGCTGATCCTCCTGTGTCTCCGCAGAAGCTGCTGATGGAAGCTCCACCCTGGGAGGGGGCGCTGGCACCATGGGCTTGAGTGCCCGCTACGGCCCCCAGTTCACCCTGCAGCACGTGCCCGACTACCGCCAGAACGTCTACATCCCTGGCAGCAACGCCACACTGACCAATGCAGCTGGCAAGCGGGATGGCAAGACCCCAGCAGGTGGCAACGGCAACAAGAAGAAGTCGGGCAAGAAGGAGAAGAAGTAATGTGGAGGACAGGCCTTAGAGCCACAGGGCAGCCTCCCTCCCCAACCAGCCCAGCTTCTCCTTACCTGTACCCAGGCCTCAGAATTCAGGGCTCACCCCCAGGATACCGGTAGGGGCCAAGGCCATGCTCCCCTTGGGAAACAGAAACAAGTGCCCAGTTAACAGCCCCCTCTCTGCCCCCAGGGGGTTGAATATGCAAAGGGAGTTCTTCTGGGAACCCCCATCCAATCAATTGCTGTACCCAGGGGGGTAGTGGGGTTAGTGTAGACACCAAGAACCATTTGTCACACCCCCTTTCTTTACAGCTGAACTCCTCCATCCTCCAAATCAATCAGGCCCATCCATCCCCCGCCTCCTCCCGGCCCCGCCCTACTCCCTCAACAGTTCCTCTCCCTTGAGTAAGGTGGTTGGGGTGTTGAGGTACCAGGTGACCTAAAAAGGCTCATAGTTCTGAAGAGTTGGAAGGACATCATGACCTCTTGGCTTCTCCTTCAATTCTCAATCTTCCCCCAAAGCATGGTTTGGTCCAGTCCCTTCATCTCCTTCCAGACCTGAGACCAATGCTCAAGTTTTGGAGGACGCGGTCACCATCCCCATGGTACTTATGCTTGCTGGATTTAGGGAGAGCATTTTGCTACCAAGCCTCTTCCCTATGCCCTGGGGACCAGTCTTTTGTTTTGTTCTTTATTGTTTGATGTTCCCACTGCATGCTGTGACTACCTTACTCCCTCCTCAAACAAGAGACTCCATTGCATGTTCCGAGACAGTATGGGGTGGTAAGATATAGAAGGGAAGTGTGTGTATGTAGTTGGGGGGGGGGGATGGACCAAGCTTGACCCATCAGTTATCAGTGTCTTTCAGGAGGCTCTGTATGTCCCCAGGGTACTGACCACATCTCCAAATTCCAGCCACAAACCAATCACCAGGCTGGACCCTCACCCCCCAACAAATAGGGCTCAGCCCAGGCAGCCAGCTTTGGGCCGAGCTACCAGGACCAATGGATTTAAACTGGCATTTCAGACCAAGGAATCTCTGAGAAGGTTTAGGATCAGGTCCCCTGGAGGGGTCAGAGGGGCTTCTGTAGGTGCCGGGTACTCCAGAGGTGCCTCTGGTGGAAGCCAGCAGAGCCCCAGCAGGAAGGAAGAGCCAGCTGGTCCCTTCTTAGTCCCTGGGTTGAGAAGGCAAGAAACCAGAGCAGGGACCAGGTGGACAGACCGTCTCAGCCCAGGATAGGGCTTCTCCACAGGGGCCCTGCCCTTCTCAAGCCTTGGTCCTTCACCTTGCCAGGTGCCATTTCTTCTCTGTGAAGGCCACTGCCCAGGCCCCCAGTCCGCCCCCTAGTGGCCAGAGCCTGGTTAAAGTCCCCCAGTGCCTCCTTGTGCATAGAACTTCCTCTCCCCACGCCCTTCTGCCCCCGGGGCCCCGTTCGTCCAGCGGGGCTGCCAGCGAACCCCACCCCAGCCCTACGGTAGTGTAGAGCCCTCTCCCCCTTTCGGCTGGTGTAGAATAGCCAGTAGTGTAGTGCGGTGTGCTTTCACGTGATGGCGAGTGGGCAGCGGGCGGCGGGCTCCGCGCAGCCGTCCGTCCTCGAGCCTGCCTGCGGCGGCCCGTGCTGTGTTTCGTGCTGTGTCCGCGCGCTGCGGCGCCCCCTCCCCCGTACTGACTCCTATAAGCGCTTCTCTTCGCATAGTCACGTAGCTCCCACTCCGCCCCCTTCCTGCGTCTCACGCAAGTTTTATACTCTAATATTTATATGGCTTTTTTTCTTCGACAAATAATAAAAAGGTTTCTTCTGAACGGTCGCACGCGTCTGTGGCGGGGGCGGGGGGGGGGTCCCGGCACGTGCGGAGGAAGCGAGGAGCCGAGAGGTGTGTGCTGGCGGGAGGGAGGCATCGGGAGGGGCGCCTCGAGTGCTCATTGTGTGCGAACGGAGGGTGCGTGACTGTCCGAGACGGCTGCGTACCCCCGCAGTCCCGTCCTGCCTTGTCGCCGCGCGGTGGGCTGGCGTGGAGGTTGCGGCCCCGCCCCGCGCGGTGCGTAATCGGCTCGCGGCGCCGCCGTCCGCTCGCGGCTGTCTCCGGGCAGAAGAGGCGACCCCGCGCGGGCGGGGCGGGGCGGGGCGGGCCAGGAGCGCCGGCGAGGGGCGGGGCCGCTTCCTCCGAGCCCGCCCTCCCCGCTAAAGTCGCCTCCCGGGAGCGCCCGGGCGGGATGCGCGGGCCGGGGACGGACTCTCCTTTGCCCGCCCCCTCCACCCCCACTGCCTAGGGCTTTCGGGAACGCCGCGGAAGGGGGACGGAGGGGGACGCAGTGCGGGAGGATGGGAGGCGATTCTCCGAGGCCGAGACTGTAGTCGGGCCTCAGTTTCCCCATCTGGAAATAAGCCTTCCCGCTTACCTCTCCGCAACGAAGCTAAAGAAATGGGAGGGCTCGTCGCTTTCTGGCGGGGGTCAAGGGGACTGAAAGGACATGCAGGGAATGAGATCGCCCGCAGACCCAGCCCCCCTCCCTCCCTCGGTGCTTTTCCATTCAATCCCGGCTCTGCCATCTCCCCGCCCCTCCGCCTGCCTCCTCAGCGCGCGCGAGGCACCGAGGGATCCCGGGGTTGCGGCCGCCAGAGAAGCAGCGGGAAACACGGGCCGGGCGGGGACAGGGAGGGGAGCGGGAGCGGCGGAGGGGCAGGAACGCGGAGGCACTGGGGTTATCGGGCAGGTCAGCGAGACTATGTGGAGCTGTCTCTGGGCTCCCTCCGCAGCGGAGTCTCTCAGGGCCGGGTCACCCGTTCTGCCGGATCCTGAAGTCTGTTGTCATGGAAACCAAACCTTCCAACTAAGCATCTGGGGGCGACTTTCTTGCGTGGGAGGAAGGGTGGTGTGCGCGGTTGCTGAGCTGGAAGGAAGGTTTTGTTTCTCGGAGGCAGGCTGCGGAGGGGCGGGGTGCCGGGTGCCTGGGTTCTATTCCAGGCACGGCAGCAGACTGGCAGAGCACGTGAGCAGCTGTGGTTGGTCCCCTAATTGGTATGTGTGCCTGTAAAGCCATGAGCCAGAAACGCGCGTGGCCTCTGGGGCAGAGGAAAGGAGGCGGCGGGCAGCCCACCCCCACACCTCCGGCCATACTGGGGAGGCAGCTGCCCAGGCTCCAGGGCTATTTAGAAGGCTTTTATTTCTGGGCCCAAAGCCTGCCCAAATGAGTTTGTGGTCCTTTGCAGGCCCCTCCCTGTCTATCCCGAGTCTGTTCGTAGCTTGCAAGGTTTCTTTCTGCAGGTCACAACGCACCCAGACAACTATGGCTCTAAGTGACAAGGCGACTGGAGCATGACCTTGGGCTTCTGACCTCTGCCAGGCAGGCTCAGGTTCCCACCCCAGTGTAAGCTCCTCTAGTCTGGAATGTGGTCTGTGGCCACTAAAAGAGCAGTGGGAACTGGAAAATAGGAGTCAGATGTCTCCCTCAGCAAGATGAAGATTAAACTATGTAGTGACATCTGGGAGCATGGGGTGGTGGGGAGTTAGGACTGAGTTCCAGAAAAGGTTCCAAGCCAAGAGGCAGCAAAGTGAAAGAGCTGAGGAGCTGAGCGGGCCGCCTACACCTTTTCTAAGGGCAAACAGCTCTGAGGTGAGCTCTGGTGGGGCAGAAGCCACCATGTATCAATCATCTCTAACCCTGTGCCCAAGCACAGTGTCTCTGGCCCCTTTACCTTTTTCGCAATGGTTTGTCAGGTCAACCAGGGGTTTGAGGCAGGAAAAAGAGCAGAGGAGCCTGGACTGGAGTGAAAAGAAACAGCTCTGAAATTCAGAAAGGAGGCTGCGAGGCAGTCCCAGTTCAATGCTTTATTAACAGTTGGAGACAAACCCAACAACTGGAGGTGATGGCATCCCAGAAGTCCAAGAGGTGAGGGAAATAGATTTGCATTTTGTATCCCCCCTTTTTATTAAATGCATCTTAGCAAAAGTAGATTAAAAAAGAAAGGGGTCAAAGTCCCAGATGTCCACCGGCAGGGAGAAGGAGGTGACCCAGAGGAGCAACAGACCCTGCACCAGCGCCTTCCCAGGAGCAGCTAGAGGAGCTGCCCTGCCCTTCAGACACAGGCTCCGGCAGCCAAGCCCTTCCTGGCTGCAAGGCCTCCTTGTAGGAACCCTCAAGGTTCCTAACCTCTGCTTGCTCTAACAACTATAATTCTGGGCCAAACCCTCACAGTGCCATTCTTTCTCCCTGGCTGGGGATGGAAAGCTGAAAGGGCCACAGGAGGGCAAAAGTATCACCCTAAGCCAGAGAATGCGAGCTTCCTCTGGCTAGAACCACCAGACAGTTCAGTCTGCCTGCTGTTCGGAAGACAGCAGGGGCACAGTGTGCACAAGCACTTCCTGTGCCCACTCGCCCAGAGTGTCCAGTTAGCATTTGCACATTTGGCTTGATACATTTACTAATTTTATAAAAACTCCATGGTCTTAGAGCTCCCACTACTCTTAGGCCTGGCCCAGCTCAACCAGAGAAGAGGCTCCTCCTGCCCCAGAAATGATGCTGGGAGAGAGAATCGCCTCGGCCTCAAGGGTCCAGAAGGCTTCAGGGCCGAGGTGAAGGTCCAGGGCATTGGGGTTGAGGCCTGTGAGGAGAAACCCCAGGAATTCTGGAACTGGCCATCAAAGCCTCTTACATTATGGAGGGGAAAAGGGGAAGGAAAGGTTTTCTTTAAAAAAGATTTTTTTTTCATACAAAAATAGATCCATTTGCAAAACAATTTCTCAGCCAGGAGGCTCCACCTCCCATTTCCTTGGAGACAGAGGGTGAGGTGTTGAGATGGTCACGACACAGCCCATAGTCCAGGTGAGAGGCACCAAAGCTCTGGGGAAGGCATGAGGGACCTTGGATTGGTAGCCTGGGGGCTAGGACAGAGGGTCCAGAGAGCACAAAGCATGGTGGCAGGCTGGAGGCAGGTCCCACACCGTCACTATGCCCCGGCTGCCTGCCACAGGCTCTGGCCTGGGCCATGGCAGAACAGGTAAGTGGTCTAGATCCTTTTGTATTGAGAGGCCTTTCCCAGGAAGGTGGAGGGAGGGTGGGATTTGCTCCCCATGTCCCAAGGAGCAGCTCCCAACGCCACAGCACTAATAATAAATAACAATAGCCAGAGAGGGAAGGGAAGAGCAGAGGGGATAGCAATGAAAGGAGGAATCTAGCCCAAAGGTTCATAAGCCCCATGCTGTTCTCAGGGCCAGAGAAACCACAAAAGAAAAGCACAAATCCAGCAAGATTGACCTAAGGGAAAGCCCACTGGAAAGTCAGGGGCCGAGGAAGCAGGCTGGGCCTTATCTGAGATCAGGCCCTCTGAGTAACAGAGAGGAGACAGGGTTAAGGCAGCAACACGGACCCTGCTTTGGTAATACAACAGCCAGGGCTGGCTGGGTTGGGCTCAGGCCTCCCCCACACTGCCCTTTCCTTCTGGCCTCCAGGCAGCTGAAGCTGTATGTGATGTTCGGAGAGCAGCAGGCCAGAGAGAGAGACAGGGTCAGAGTGGTGGGAGCGGCCACCCCAGAGGAATATCCCCTCCAGCCTTTAGGCACATGCTGAAGGGTGGGACAGTCTGGGGCTCCCTTCAGGAGCTGCCACGGTCACAGGACCCAGCTTAGCTTGCACGGCCAACTAACTCCTTGGCTTCCTCAAGGATTGTGGGGACTGCCTCACTGGTCTTGGGCATCTTGGCAGCAACAGCAGTCATGGCATCGTCCTTGGTCAGCTCCGAAGCTAGCAGAGATGTGACTGCACACCCGGCCTTCCTGTTGGCTGCAAGAGAAGACATGAGAGACCTCATCCACGGAAGGCCCAGTTTCTAATCTCTTCCAAACTCTGTGGCAGACATTCAGCCGTAAGCCATGCAGACATTGCTGCCTCGTCCAGTTCACTGAGGCCCTTACTTTGAAGAAGGGGCAGAGATCCAACACGTGGGATACACCTTTGGGTATCAAAGAATTGGAGAGAGTGTGGTGCAACAGGAGAGCAGACTTGCCTGTGCTTCCTAGTGTGAAAACAGTACAAAGGTTTGAAGAGAGCTAAACAGAATTGGGCATATTAGTTATGTGACTTAAAGAGAGATGAAGTACTAAAAGTCTCTTTCTCATAATAGGGTTATTGGAATTAAATAGGCTAAAGCTCAGTATGTAGATTATTTTTGTTTTCTTGATAGTTCCCAGGAAGCTCCTAGACCAACAACCTTTTCAGTCAGCCCTGGGAGGGTTGTCCAGAGCAAAAGGCGGCCTCCAGCAGGCTGCTGTGGGGACTCCCGCAAAGAGGAGTTTACTGACTGGCGTCACATGCACATCACGCTCCTACGTGTTCCTACGACAACAGATGCCCACATGCCTCCCACCTCCTCAAGGGTTGCAGCTGTGATACAAATGCCCAGGGCCCTACATGGTGTACAGAGAGAGAGAGTGTGTGTGTGTGTGAGTGTGTGTGTGGGAGGAGGGGGTAACAAAGGGTATGTCAGGGAAAGTGGAACTGGCACCAAGGACGGCTGGGAATGGACCCCTACAAAGATATCTAAGCCCAACTGCCTAAGGGATTGTGAAGATCCAGTTATCAGCCCAAATAGGAAGAGAAGAACCAATCAGTCCACGAGCTTCTGTTGTAACTGCTGGGATTCAACCCCAGGGCTCTCACATTCATTTATGGAATCCAGATTTATGGCCCCAGTATCCTCAACTGGATGGTGGCTCCTTGGGACCATGCCCATCTCAAGATGTCTGCCTCTTCCTATGCCCCAGAAGCAGCACAGAGCAACTGCATGTACACAAAGAGCTGCCTGGCATGAAAGAAACCAGATGCAAAAGGGCGTACACATTATGGTTCCATATCTATGAAATGACCAGCACAGGCACATCCATTGAGATAGAAAGTGGATTAGTGATTGCCAGGAGCTGGGAGAGGGAAGAAGCAGAAATAATTGTTAATGGGTATGAGATTTTTCTTTTCAGGATGATGAAAATGTTCTGGAATTAGACAGTGGTGATGGTTGTACAATGTCTTGAGTATATTAAAAATCCTTGAATTGTACAATAAAATGGTGAATTTTAGGTATGTGAATTATATCTCAATTTTTTAAAAAAGGCCAAGTGTGGTGGCTCAAGCCTGTAATCCCAGCACTTCGGGAGGCCGAGGCAGGAGGAGGATCACTTGAGGCCACAATTTCGAGACCAGCCTGGCAATACAGTGAAACTCTATCTCTACAAAAAAATTTTAAAAATCAGCTGAGTGGCCGGGTACAGTGGCTCACGCTTGTAATCCTAGCATTCTCGGAGGCCAAAGCGGGAGGATAGCCTAAGGTCGGGAGCTCGAGACCAGCCTGAGCAAGAGCAAGACCCCGTCTCTACAAAAAAATAGAAAAATTAACCCTGCACGGTGGTGCATGCCTGCAGTCCCAGCTACTGGAGAGGCTGAGGCAGGAGGATTGCTTGAGCCCAGGAGTTTGAGGTCGTAGTGACTGCCCAGGCAGTACTCTAGCCCAGGCAACAGAGTGAGAACCTATCTCCAGAAAAAGAAAAAAAAAGATCTCAGATCAACAACCTAACTTTATGCTTAAGGAACTAGAAAAAGCAGCACAGACTAAACCCAAAGCTAGCAAAAGGAAGGAAATGAAAATAGAAAAATTAGCTGGGCATGGTGGTGCATGCCTGTAGTCCCAGCTTCTTGGGAGGCTGAGGCAGGAGGATCGCTTGAGCCCAGGAGTTTGAGGTTGCTGTGAGCTATGACGACACCACTGCACTCTAGCCTGGAGCAACAGAGTGAGACTCTGTCTCAAAAGAAAAAAAAAAAAAAGAAAGAAAAAAAATGTATAAAAAATTAGCTGAGCCCAGTGGTGCTATGGTGTGTGCTTACAATTTGAGGTGGGAAGATCGCTTCAGCCCAGGAGTTTGAGGTCACACTGAGTATGATCGCGCCACTGCACTCCAGCCATAAAGAAGCAGGCCCAGATGGAAGAACCTAGCACCCCTAAATGAAGACTACAGGACCCAGCAGCTGCGGGATATGGGTAGGAAGGAAGAAGAGCCCAGAGGGGCCAGTGCTTCCTTTGGAGCAGCAAAAGCTTTAGGTAGGCAGAAGCCAAACGAGATCAGAAAGCCCAAGTCTTTGCTAAGGCTGTCGTCAGTGTTCCTGCAGAGCCGTGACCCAGAGCCGCTATTTCACCCCAGCAGAGGCTACCCACGGGTCAGGCAGGGAACACACAGCATGCCCACAGGTTACCAATTTATAAGTCTCTTCCTCCTCCTCCACCTCCTCCTCCCAGGGGCACATGGGATTATCTACCAAGAGAAAGAACAGTGAAGATCCTGACAGCCACAAGGGCTTATTAGTTACAGGTCAGAGGTGTGTTACCTAAACTGTGGATTTTACCAAACCACTCATTAGATTATCACCATAGCAGTGACTGGCAGGTGAGGACAAGGAATCCATGTGAGTAGACTGTAACCATATGCTTCTCCCACCTTCCTTCTTAGTCTCTCACCACCACCATCTTCCTCAGCCCTGCCGAGTGTCCTCTTTTCTGAAGTACTCCCTTCTCTAGACTCAACTTCGTACATCCCAAAAGGATATCACTTTGTTCCTCCTTTGAATTCAACCTTCAGCAGTTGAGAACATTCTGCAACTACTTGTGTGTGACTCTAGTGGTGTATACACTGAAATAACCTCTGACTCCAGACCCTGGGACAAAGAACTCTGGGCCTTCAGGGACACTTGTCTGGACAACACAGGAGAAATCAGCGTTCAAGTGTGGCAAGTCTTAAGCCACTTCTTTCTTTAGTTTCTTTCTCTAAACTAAGAAGATACCAGTTGTACATAATCAAGCAGTGTTTGTAGATTTTTCTAGACTCAAAGGAGATTCTGATGTATTATAGACTTCATAAGAAGCAGGAGCAGATATGATAAGTAGAGAGAAGACCAAAATTTCCCTTTTAAGCCTTGAAAGTATGTACACTAGGGAATGGACAGAACGTGGCCAAAGGTCAGGGATGAGAAAGCTCTTGTTGGAAGTGGCAAGAGAATCAATGCAACCCAGGCATCCTGCCTGTCACTCTGTCTCCTCTGCCACCATTATGCTGAGCAGTTTGAACAATCAAGAAAAACTAATCTCTTCCCTTCTATCCCCAACTTGAGTGCTTAAGACTATTGAAGAGTAGTCTCAGAACCAGATAAATATTTTGACTAGATGGGATGGGGGGATCCTTAACTCTAAGACAACAGTCCCACAGGGTCTAGGGGAAAAGGGAACTGTCTTGAGACACTAAGTCAAAGTTTTCTGAGGCCAGACTCCTAGAAGTTAGGGTGGGCTAGGATAAAAAACTCAGCAAAATCAACCATATAACACTAGTATAGCTGAATTTCAAAAAGGTTAATGATTTGGAAAAAGACCTTTATTAAAACACAGGCTAGGAATTATTACTAAAGAGGTAGCGTGCTCCTGTTAATAAGCTTCCTTAGGGAAGAGGAAACTAGGACAGATGGGGTGATCATTATCATCCTAAATAAATTATTGTCTAAAACTCATCTAATTATACTTCCTGTCCTATTTTTACAAAAGTGGGGGGAGAGTAAGTAATGATACAGGTAACATTCTTATCAACCTTCTCCAGATAGGCAGTCATCAGAAAACCTCTCTGAAATCTGGACATAGTGATTTCACTATGTCCAGGACTCTCATTGCTAGAAGGTATGAATGAATATTTCTAGGCTGGGCACCGTGGCTCACACCTGTAATACTAGCACTTTGGGAGGCAAGAAGGGAGGACTGTTTGAGGCCAGGAGTTGAGATAAGCCTGGCCCACATAGTGAGACCCTGTCTCTACAAAAAAATAAAAAAAAGAAAAGTAGCTGGGTGTCATCCTAGCCACTGTAGTTCTAGCTACTCAGGAGGACTGCTTGAGCCCAGGAGTCTGAGGTTGCAGTGAGCTACGATAGTGCTACTGCATTCTAGTCTGGGCAACAGAGCAAGGCCCTGTCTCTAAAAAAAAAAAGAAAGAAAGAAAATTCTGGCTCATACTGAGAGGTCACTGTTATCTCCTGTTCAATCATGTAGGCTTTATAGAAATAGCCCTGGACTTGGATCCACAAAAGTGGGCTACAGTTCTGGCTCTATCATTAACTAGCTATGCAGACTTTGGCAAGACCATATCTGGGTCTTAAATCCTTTTACCTATGAGCAGGTTAGATACTAATCACTAGAGGTCTTTAGAGTCTTTCCAACTTTAAGGTTCTGTTAGTGTAGGTGGAGCTAATAGGGAAGCTAGGAAGTGGGAGAGGGAAGGAAAGGAAGAGAGAGGTGAATTTCTTTTCTTGACTTTTATCTCAGTGAGCAAATGGCCTGTATATAAAAGGCCACAATTCAGACATGGAGATAAAGTTGAGTCATTAAAACCACAAGCTGACTCAATTATGGGCCTGAAATAGTAGCTGTAATACAATCACATGGATTCTTCCCCTTGACACTCCAACCATTGTTCTCCCACACCCTGCAGATCGCAGCAGTTTACATGTTGCTTCTAATGAACCAACACTGATAGTAACTCTCCTCTTCCAGCTCCTCAATGGGTCTTTGTATACTTGGTCACTCCCTCAGGTCCCTAGAGACCGGAAGATTTTAACATTCCTTTAAATTCTAGGGAAAAGGCTAGTGTCTTTGAATAGGGACAGCTGCCTCTCTGGGAAGAAGGAGGGCTGTGAGACAGATATGCTTGATAATGCTTCTGTTTTTCTGGCTCAAAGCAATTAGCCAAGAGGAATAGTCAGAGACAGTTTAGTAAGGGGAAATCTGTAGCTGCTAGAGCGTTTCTATTTTGAGATGGGCTATCTAAGCCTAGCCTCTCTCCTCTCTTCTCCTCTTAATCCTATTGTCACCGTACAAAAAAACATTAGAGCTGGAAGGGACCCTGGAGATCACTCTAGTCCAAGGAAACTGAGTCCTAAAAACATTAAGTCACTTGCCTAAAGTAACACAGATGACATCAGAGCTAGATTTGACTTTGGGTCTTTTGATCCCTACCTAGTCCTGTGTTCTTTGCACTTCACTTCGATGCCTACCCTCTGTTTCCTGTGAGGCCACATCACATCACTTTACATGCTGTGAATGCACCCAGGTCTAAAGAGCTCACCAGAATAAGTAGAAATGGCTTCTCTGAGAGAGTCTCCCAGATATATTCAGGTATGTTTAGTAAACTCAGAGCCCAGGAATGTAAAGTTACAGACTGGAGCCACTTTAAAAATATGTCTTCTCTTTTTACCTACTTTTCACTTTATCATCTCCTAGTATAGGTCTCCTCCTATTCTCTCTTGCACTGGGAGACAGTATTTTGACTACAGTTAGGTTCTAGCAAAATCCCTGTTTCTTCTGCCTATGAGTCCTGGTTTTCTACTTGGAAAGAAGTGAAGAACCGGGTCACCCCAGCACAGGGAAGCCACTGATGTCTGGCAGCCTGTGTATAGGAAGCATCTGGAATTCTGGTATAGTTCCACAGGAAGAGGCTTAATAGGGAATTCCCCACCAAAGTCTGATGTAGGTTCACACTTAGCTGAAGGGGTCGAGGAAAACAGATGTGATGTGCTTTCCTTAGGCTAGAAATACTTAATTAATGTGAGGCCACATCACCTTATATGGCAGGTAGGAAACAATGTTGCCAAAACCTAATGTCTAAATACAAAAGTAATACAGCAATATTAGCTGTACTCTCTACCCAAACACCTATCTATAATATTAACACTAAATGCTGTATCCCAGAGAGTTCCAAACCCTTCATGCCTACTTCTCCTCCCCTTTAGAGAGCCTATACTCAGAGGATGCCAGAAAATGGATAAGAGTTGTGACTAGGGACTCGATGGTTTAGAGAAGGTTCTCAAGTCATACAGAAGAGCCCTCAGAAGAGAATATCCCTCTGGGTATTCAGAGTATGGGTAAAACTAGGCAGCCAGCCAAGACAGGTAAAACTCATAGTGATCTACAACATTTGGGTCAGGACACTGAGTTTTCCTGGGCTAGCATGCTCTATATTTGCCTCCTAAGGTCCCCTTTCCAGGCCGTGACAGGTACTACAGGCCCTACAGATACCACTGTATTAATAACTAAGCGCTGGCCAAAACAAGCCATACAACTCCTCTTTGCAATAACCTCAAAAGCTCAGGCCGGGCATGGTGGCTTGCACCTGTAATCCTAGCTCCCTGGGAGCTGAGGTGGGAGGATCTCGAAGCCAAGAGTTGGAGACCAGCCTGAGCAAGAGCGAGACCCCTGTCTCTACTAAAAATAGAAAAATTAGCTGGGTGTAGAGGTGTGTGCCTGTAGTCCCAGCTACTGGGGAGGCTGTGGCAAAAGGATCGCTTAAGTCTAGGAGTTTGAGCTTACAGTGAGCTAGGATGCCACTGTACTCTAGCCTGCCTGGGCAACAAAGCAAGACTCTGTCTCAAAAAAAAAAGTAAAGCTCATATCAAATGGGCCTACAGAGTGCAGCAGCCAGGAAACAGGGAACATAGCTTTAATCCCTCTGACGTAGAAACCTTTAATGAGGCCTTTTCTGTAACTCTCACCCTTCCACCTAGGAAAGAAACCATCACTCCTGGCTGCAAAGGGCCTTCTTCACGCAACACAGCGGGCAACACAGCGGCGGCTGGCGAGAGGTAGCCGCGGCTGCAACCCTCCTTCAGACTAGTCTCTCGCCACTGTGTGCTGCCCTCAAGGGAAACTTAACCATTAACCCTTCCCTCTACTAATGCCTGGATCATCTGTCCTCCTACCTCCATAATTCTTTTTAGGGGCTCTGGCTCAATGTAATCCTCTTAAATCTTCTGAAGGTTGGGAAAGGAGGCTGCAAGGGGAGTGAATGGGAAAAGGCAAGGGCAGCTCACTGCCCCTAAGGACAAGGTAGTTTCAGATGTGGCACAATCCTTCAGCTGAGACGCTTCTGCAGCCTTACATCTGGGGGACCAGATGCCCAACCTGCTCTCTAGAGAGTTTTATACTTTCTCTTATTAGTTTGATCTATATGTGTCCTCTGCCTGTGAAGTTGAGAGTAAGGGCTCTTGTTTTTTTCTTTGTATTTCAATCTATACCTAATGTATAGTTTTGTGTTTAGATTGATTTTATTTATAAACACGCCCTGTCAAGTCCCTGTGGCCCACAGCATAGTTTCCCTTTTTCCAAATTTCTCCTTCAAGAGAAGAAAGAAATGCAAGAATAATCAAATATAACTGATTTGGTGTCGGTCCCTAAACCCTAGATTTCTAAGTCAGTACTTTCTAACATGAGAGGAAGAGGACCAGATAATCCACTCTAGAGGCAGGGACTATTGTGGAGACGTTTCTAAACCTTTAGAGCATCATTATCTGGTCTCTAGCCCAAGACCAGCAGGACCAGCAGCTGAGAGGCTCTGCCCCCTGCAAAGCCAGGCTGAGCTCCATTCATCTCTTACTTACCCTGCCGTGGCCCTCTCTTCCGCCGGAACGCTGCCCCGGACTGCAGGGCTTCTAGGAGACTGTCCATCACACCTGTCTCATCGCCCTCTGTCATGAAGAACAAAGATGGAGACGTAAATTCTTCAGCCAGAGCAGCATGGCAAGTGTCAGGCTCCACATAAAATGCACAGCTATTGCGTGGCTACCCCTCCCACAGTGGCTGGCGACTAAGAACAGACAAAGGGTGCTCCATCTTAAACTTCACAGGTCCATGTTTACTTGTATCTGTTTTAAAATGGTCAAAACAAAAGATTTCACTGCGCACTATCCAGAGCAAACCTTGGGATATTTTCCTATGGTGCCATCCTCCGTGTCCCAGTCAGGAGGACTAGCACACGGAATTGCAGAATGGCCCAACTCCAAGATCAGGAGAGACTGCAACTGTGAAATTAATAAGCAACTATATCACTCCCTCTTTATCCCGAAGTGTTTCATGATGATTTACACATAAACCTCTCATGGCTAGCGTGGTTCAGGTTTCAGACCAGGGCTGAGGAAAGAGCACTGATCAAGAGTGCATTTCATCCCTTAGGTACTGCCTCCAGTGGCTATGTCTGCCCAAAGCTGGCTCTTCATCTGCGAGAAGCAGCTTGGCTGGAATACAAAGAGTTAATGTAGAATCCTAGTTCCAGCCTGGCTCAGTTTCCATGGCAACAGCTCAGGATAGTGAAATCTGAAACTGTGAAATCCCACGGAGCCGGTTGGCTGTCAGAGCCAAGGTGGGGCTCACTGCTCCCAGCGCCACCTACTGGTTGAACATTACCAGTGCATCTGACCTACATTCCAACCTCATTCCCTTGACCAGGGTACTGGGGACAGGTCCAGGTCCACTACGCCACCTGTCGACGGGGTGCAGCCCTCATCCCGCAATGCGGCAGGACTCCACCTTCCCAGACTGCATCCTAGCCAGTACCTGAAGACAAACCACTGAGGCCCCAGGGAAGGTGATGGACACTAGGTGTGGGCTTTAATAGTATTGCTGGAACAAGAGTTGTGACTTACAACTGATGTAAGGGCAAGCAATCTGTTTTACAGACAAGTGTCAAGAAAAGTCTCTGGGAACAAGATGTGTTGTTTCAGCAGCCCTTCCTGCTTGTGCTCTGCAAAGTGCTGATTCTTAACAGACCCGGCAGCCTTCAAAACCCCTTTGCTTGCAGAAGGCTTGTGGCCCTCAGGTTCAGAGAAGGGTGGCATCAGTTCAGGGCTGTGGAAGCCATGTACGCTGTATTTCCGCTGCCCACAGAGAGAGCAGTGGGGGTGGAAGGGCAGGGAATCAGCAGCAGGAAAGCAGCAGAGACAGGAAACAGAGGGCCAGTAATTGAGACCATATGTTTCAACAAAGACAGGCTTCTGGCAGTGAAAGAGATTCTGCTGAAAAAAGAAGAGGGTGGCCAGCTCTCGACCCCCTTCCAGAAGTTCAATCCATTTGCAATCTAATAATATGCACAATTGTGCTAAGGTACTAGGGACACAGTACTTAGTGAAATACGCAGCAAGGGAAGATGAGCCACCATCAAAAGATGGAAGGAGGGCCAAGAAAAATTTTGGGGAAAACACAAAAGATTTGGTGGAGGGAATGAGAACAGGCCAGAGGAACCTCTGGATAGGCAGAAGGAAAGAGTACGTTAGAGTGATACTAAAATCACTGGGGAGATAAGACATAATGCAAGAACCAGCAAAAGTGAGAGAAAGATTTTAGCATGGAAAGTTGGAATGTGCATGGAACTAATTGGGGTTAAAGTCCAGCATCAGGACCTTGGAGGTAGAGGGCTGCCAAAATCATGCACCAGAAGCTGAGCTCAGACATGAGCTGTTCTCTCTGGCCTCTACATTCTAGACAAAGAAGCTTTCCAAAACCTCCAGTCTCAGTTCCTCAGCCCTCTTCACTCCTTACCTGCATTCATGTCTATGAGTTGCTCTCTCTTCTGCTGTTTCTCTAGCCGCTCCTTCTCGGCCTTCTCCTTGGCTAGTTTTGCTCGACGCATCTTTTCTTCGGTCTCCCGCCGCTTCTGGTTCTCCTTGACTGCTTGCTGTGGGAGGTGGGGGGAGAAGACGACATGTGTACACCTGCCACCAGCCAACATGGAGCCTGTGGAAAGTGAGCAGCGTCCCCAGGATTCAGTCAGTGGGTATCCCTTACTCACCAAAAACATATTCCTAAAGTTGTGCAGGTCCATGAAGAATTCTTCCACAGACAACTTCTTGGGGTCAAAGAGGAAGTAATCCCCCAGATCCTTGTAGAGGGTCTCCATGTTGGAATGCATCATCCGCAGCTTGTTATACTGCTCCTGTGCGTCCTTCACGAAGCTGTGCGGCCAAGGAGTAAAGGACCAACACCAAGAAGCAGACTCCCTTCTCTAGCCCAGAAAATTACTCAGAGATGTGTTACTGGCACACACAGGGATGCTCAACACAGAACTGCTTATAACTGCAAAGACCAAAAGCAATCTAGACATCCTAAATAGGGGAAGAGTAAACCAAAAGCTACGGTACACCAATAAAATAGAAGGTGGCAATTTAAAAAGAGGCTGTTCTGCATACACTAATATGGAAACATGGCTAAGACACATTATGCGCAAAAAGCAATACAATGCAGTTTTTGTTTAAAATAGAGTTAAGAGGTGCAAATGAGAAAGAAGCCCAGCGGCAGTGGTTACCTCTGGGAAAGGGAGGGAGTGTGATGCACTTGAGCACGTGTGTGCGTGCGTGTGTGCGTGCGTGTGTGCGTGCGTGTGTGTGTGCGTGTGTGTGTGTGCGTGTGTGTGTGTGCGTGTGTGTGTGTGGGGTGCGAATGGGGCACAGGGCAGGGGAATCGGGGACTTGTAGTTTATCTGCATGGTTTGTTCCCACAGCCAAACAATGAGAATGTTTTCAAGGACTATGTATTTAATGAAAAAAATTCTTTTTAAGAGGAAAAAAGTGTATACTGCCGTATCTATCCTGTCGTCTGCCTCTGCACCAGAAGTTTTCTTTCCCTTCCTAGGGAGAAACTGCCTCCTTTCAAGAGAGGATATAGTCATTTTTTCAACAAATTTGTCTTTTTCATCTGTGGCAGCTGGGAAATTCTGAACATCACGTTCCACATCAGAAATTTGTTTCTTCATCTGATCTAGGTTCTTCTGCAAGTTTTCAGCAGAAACTAAAGGAAACACAAAAATAGACGGTAACAGCTTACTACTACTAATTCCAGCCCCAAGACCCCTTAGCTTCACTCTTCAAAGCACAGCTCCAGTCTACACACACATTCTGGTACTTAATTATTTTAGTTCTTTTATGTAATAACTTTAGTCGTTTCACGCATTTAAGTTTTCATCTTTCCAGTGAAACTATCAATTATTTGATAACTGAGCCTCCAGCCTCCACAAGGCACACAGTACAGAAGAGAGGCTTCATTTAATTTAACAGGAATCTATGAAATCCCCTGAGATCTCGGTCTCATTTATTTTAGAGAGCAGGGTCTGGGAGGAGAAAGAAAGAGGCAGGGCAGAAATCTGTTCCTATTTCTACTGAATGCTTTTCCTTTGTCTAGTTCCATGACAGTGAGGCCTCATTTGTGTTAATCTAGTCTATGCTTTCTGAATGACAAAAACGGTTGACCTAAACCAAAAACACCTGCCTTTCTTACCACTGTTTTTTTGTTTTTTTTTTTTTTAGTGTTTCCCTAAGAAGGGAAAAAGTGCTTTCCTTTCTAAACATGAAAACCTCTCTCCAGCTATATACTCCTCCCTTGTGACTTAGACACCACACCTAAGCCCTCTGCCATTCCCACTTAGTCTGAACAGAAAATGACCTAAAATCTAAATTAAATGGTGTCATACTTATTTCCCTCCCCACGCAGAGACTTTTGGAGCGCAGAGCCACTTTCTAGTTTCGCCCCAACCTGTCCCACCTCGGCTGGCTTTCTCCACGTGGGTAAGCTCATCTGGAAACTTGAGGACATCAGGATAGTCGTTCTCACACAACTCAGCCAGGAAGTGCAACAACGTCATCTTCTGATCTGTGGACTTAGTGTCTCGAAGCTTAGGGTAAGAGGAGAAATTATTAGTCCTGACATGCCCAAGATGGCCTCAGGCCAACACTGGGCTCGGAGAGGCCACTGCCTTCCCTCGCGTGGTCCTGCTCGAACCCCTCGGCTCACCTTGCAGAGGAAGCTGATATTGAAGCCAAAAGCCCCAGCATTCCTGGAGCCAGCATTCATGTAGTTTCCCACAAGCAAGGTGATCTCCAGGAGGCTGGCAAAGCTCTCACTCTTGCGCAGCTCCTCACACGCGGCAGTGACAGACACAATCTCCGGCTTGATGTTCTCCACTTGCTCGCTGAACTGTAGCTTGAAGAGGATGGCATTGAGGCGAGGCCGCAGGCGGGGCACCGTTCCCATCTGGTGGAGAAGACAGGCAATGCCGTTACAGCCCACAGAGAGAGGAGGAAGAGAAAGATACAGGCTTGAACCTCCTGTGGGGGGACGAGCTCCTGAGCAGGGAGGGGGGAGAGAGGGGCGCACAACAGGTAAGAGGTGAGGAGCAAGTGCCCACGCTGCTCTCCAGAGGGCAGAGGAGCACAGGAGGCAGGGAAGAGCCTACGGCCACAGGCCTCACTCACCACCACGCCGAACTGCTCCGACTCGGCCAGATCATCGTATTCGTCCTTCAGTTCAGAAAGCATCTTTAACTGCTCTGGCTCAGGCATCTGCTTAATGAGGTTCTGAAAGAGAAGAGAAGTCTCAGTTTGAGTGGGATGAGCTGACAGCTCGAGCTTAAACAACTTTTACCCTCTCGTCAGTCCCACCCTCTGCCCAAGGACCACTGAGAAGGAAATGGGGGAGGGGGGAGAGGCAGCTAGTGAGATGGCAGGAGTTTTGAAAATTATACCAGAAATAACCTGACCACCAGAGAAATGGCAGCTTCTGCAAAGCCAGCATTCATAAGTGAATAATGCTAGAGGAAGCTCCTCCCGCTCGTGCATAGCCGTGCAGAAGAGCCAGCTCCAGTGGAATGAGCCACCTTACTCCTTACCTGGATCATAGACTCGGTCAGGACAGCCTCATTCACCTCCAGGATGACATTCTTAATCTCTTGATAGGGCATGCGGAAGGAACCCAGAAAGATTGCTGCCAGAAAATGAGACATAGAGACATGTTCTCAGTCTCTTCCCCCTTCCAACCCACCCTACAAACTCATGCTGGATAATCTTCCTTAGAGGGTTGAATCACTCTTAGAAACTCTCTGCCTCTATAGTTAAAATCCAAGTTCCTGAGTCCAGTATGAAAGGTTCTCACCTCCCAGCTTTCTCTTTCATTAATCCCCACGCTTATATCACACACCAGCCACACTGTTCCATGTACCACATTCCACAAACACTGGGACACTTTGCCTTTGCTCACACAGGAAGTCTTTGATGTCCTCTGTCTATACACATCACAGACTTTACCCACTCTATTTTAGTTCCCCACTCCTAGGACTTGATCCTCAAAGCTTGACCTTAAATTGCCATATCCTGCTCCCTAACACACACACATCCTATCCTTTCAGCTCTCGCACTTTCCAACCTCCAACCTGACTCTTCAACCTCCAACCTGACTCTTCAACCTTATCAGGCCTTCTCTCCAGTCTCCTGACATTCTGTTTTCACTGAATGTGTCAGTTCCACTCTGCCTTCTCTTTTTCACCTTGACCCTATCACTTGCTCTCTACTATTATTCCTGTTACTCCTACTGCTACAGCTAGCTCCTCTCTTGCTTCCTGCTCCTTCCAGCCCCTGGTTAATCCAGCCACCTCATTTCTCTACTCTGATACCTGGGCTCAGGCAGATCTGTGTCTGTGAATTTGTGGAGCACCAGTGATAGCTGGGGCCTCAGTGTTGCTTAGCAATCCCCTTTTGTGTGTCCCCATTCTGCTCTCTCCCACCCCTCTTGACAGCTCTTCCAAAATATCCCCATTCTGTTCTAAGAAGACTTTGTTCCCCTTCACTGAGGAAAATTGAAGCCATTGGTCAAGGTCAAATCACTTGCTTGGCTTTCTTTTATGCTCCTTAAAAATTGAGCACTGGGGGCTCTCAGCTAGAGTCAGATAAGAAAAGGCTTGGGGAAAGATTATTTTGGAAGCACCTAGAAGAAACCTATGCCCAACACTTTTGTTAGCTTATCAGCATGTACTCATATACATACTCATGTACATGTGTATGGATATACATCCCCATGTGCTTATCCTTTCCTCGAGTTTCGACAGAAGAGGTGGCCTAAGGACCTTTTCCTTCAGCATATATAATCAAGTTTCTATCTTTAAAAAAATCCACCTGACCCAATGTTCCTTTGTAATTACTGTTTCTCTTTCCTTCACTTTATATTGTCTTGTATTCTCTCTCACTTCCATAACTCTCATTTATTCTGTTCCCACAAGCCACTGAAAAGACAGCAACCATTTAGAGTATATACACTCTAGGTAAGATACCACTGCCACCTCTCACTCACATCCACTAAAAGAGCGACCTCTGCCTCCCCCAAAAGAGAGAACCTGTTCTTGCTGCATTTTCCTATTTCAGTAAATGGCACCACTTTCCGTGGAGTAACCTAAACCCAAGAAACATCTTCTCCTTTATCCCCTCAGTCAATCATTCCATTCCATTAATTCTACCTTCTGAGCATCTTCTGCCTTCCTTTTCATTCTCACTACCTTACTTGCAGGCCCTGACCACTTCTCACTCAGTCTACAGCAATAATGTAACTCACATCTCTCTGCCCACAGCCTTCCCCGACCTTGGCAATCCAGCTTCAGAATCACTGCCAAAGCAGCCTTCTTAAAAGTTACCTAGGGTCATCTCACTCACTTTCCTGATTAAAATCTCTTCACAGTAACTTCCACAGCTGTACTCAGCTGCACTCAGTTCATTGCTCCGGAACTGCACAATGTCATCTCATGCCTCTGTACCTTCATACATGCTGATCCCTCTCCTGGAACAAGCCAGTCCTCACCTGTCACTTACTTCCTCCTTATAGTTGTTCCAACTCAGTTTCAGCAGTCCTGCCTGTAGAACGTCCTTTGGGATTTGCCCCCTCCAGTACTCCTCCCACTTGATTTAGATGCCCCTTTCCCAGTGCTCTCAGAAACATTCCAGCATACTCCATCACAGCACTTATCCATCTGTGCTATATTATTATTTGCCTTTCTGTCTCTACCAGACACGTGGCTCATAAGGACAGGGACTATGTCTTACACAGCTTTGTATCCTTAGCGCATAGAAGTTTTAATCATTGTTTAATCACCAAATTCCATCTTCCAGACCCACACCATCCTGCCCCAAATTATTCTCAATTATGTTCTTGAATTCTGTTTTCCGTATCAATATCACTCCACTAGAAATAATGTACTACACAATGGTCTTTCTTGTATCATTTTCTAAAATAACAATTACTCATGTTTTACGTTCCTAGAGATAACTCTTGGAAGGAGGAACTGACTCACACTGCTTAGTCTCAATAAAAGGATTTTACCACAGATACTACTTAGTAATATTTGTTGAAAATAATTTAAGATTTTATAGTCAAGAATAACAATGTGCTTGCTTCGGCAGCACAAATACTAAAATTAGAGCAATACAGAGATTAGTATAGCCCCTGCACAAGGATGACATGCAAATTTGTGAAGCATTCCATATTTTAAAAAATAAATAATGTAAATGTAAAGGCTTACTGCTCTTGTTGTATACGTCTGACTTTACTTATAGGTATGTGTTACTTATTAGTTGTTTGACCTTGGGCAAGTCACAATATGTGAACTTTAGTTTTGTCATGTGAACAGTGGGGACAATAACTGCATCACAGGATTGTGTGGCTGGGCATGGTGGCTCATGCCTGCAATCCCAGCACTTTGGGAGGATGGCTTGAGGCCAGGAGTTCGAGATCAGCCTGGTGGGATCTATATCTACAAAAAATAAGAACAATTAGCTGGGTGTGGTAGTGTGTGCCTGTAGTCCCAGCTACTCGGGAGGCTGAGGCAGGAGGATCATTTGAGCCCAGGAGGTTGCATGGGCTATGACTGCGCCACTGCACTCCAGCCTAGGCAACAGAGCGAGACCCTGTCTCTAAAAAAATAAATAAATAATATAGGAGAAAGAAAGGATTGTGAGTAGATTTTATGGCATATATACCCTTCATCTCTAGAATACATGACTAGTATGTGCCTGATAGAGCCTATCACATAGCAGATCCTCCAATATTTGTTGAAGAAATATTTAAATCTGTATTACTCAGCATAAAGTAGGTAGATCAACAGTTGAAATAAATAACAAATAAAAAAATTAACATTCATCTGATCATCAAATAAGTACTACCTGCATCAACTTTGCAAAAGAATTTCTGATTTGAAATTTTGCCATCAATCAGAGTTGAGAATAAATAGCAAGTTCAGAATAGAACTCTCTGGAGTACTGATCCTACTGTGAGAAGTACAAGATTTATCTAATTTACTTAAATCAGAAAGTAATTTTAGATTTAACTAAAGCCAAGCCAGTGTCTGCGTTACTTATCAGAAAGTGATAAAGAAGAAAATGCACAGTGGCTAAAACATTTATGGTAGAGGCCGGGCGCCGTGGCTCAGGCCTGTAATCCTAGCACTCTGGGAGGCTAAGGGGGAAGGATGGCTTGAGCTCAGGAGTTCGAGACCAGCCTGAGCAAGAGTGAGACCCCGTCTCTACTAAAAAACAGTAAAAAATTAGCCAGGTGTGGTGGTGTATTGCCTGTAGTCCCAGCTACTTGGGAGGCTGAGGCAAAAGGATTGCTTCAGCCCGGAAGTTTGAGGTTACATACACAGCACTCTAGCTGGGGACAACAGAGTGAGACTCTGTCTCAAAAAAAAAAAAAAAACCCAAAACAAAAACAAATGAAAAAGAACATCTGTGGTAGATTTTCTTTTATCCTTTTTTTCCTCAATCTTTATTTTTTTAATATGAAAGGACGGAGGGCTGTGAGAAGCGGTGCTCAGTTTCCTTGTTTGTTTTCGTTGAGACAGAGTCTCACTCTGCTGCCCTGGGTAGAGTGCAGTGGCATCGCTGTAGCTCACTGCAACCTCCAACTCCTGGGCTCTAAGTGATCCTTCTGCCTCAGCCTCCGGGGTAGCTGGGACTACAGGCACACGCCACAACGCCCAGCTGGGTTTTTTTCTTTTTCTTTTTGGTAATCCAGAGTGCTAGGATTACAGGTGTGAGCCACTGCACCTGGCCTGTGGTAGATTTTCTATGGATGCAATAGAAATAGTAAGGACTTTGAAATAAGAAAGTCTGAGGCTCAAATCTCAGACCTGTCTCTTACTAGCTATATGACTACGCAAATTCCTGAAAGTCTTAGCCTGTTTCCTTGACATAAAATTGGATACTTAACAATCTTGCCAGGGCTATTGAGGGTATTAAATGAGATACTGGAAATAGACTATGCAAAGCCTGGCATATAGTAGGAATTCAACAAATGGGACCCTAGATTCAAGAGAATTAAGGGACCCTAGATTCAAGAGAATTAAGTTCTTAAAAGAACCTCTTCACATTTCAAATAGCTGGGATCATAGTCACTTACAGAGATTCTGAGCTGTCTTTGAATCCAACACTTTTAACTCTTTTACTTTCTTCTTTTGCACAGATTTCTTTTCTTCACCACCTTCCTGATCCTTCTTGGCTAGAAAGAGAAAGATTAGAAAAGCATGATTAAGAGTAAGCTACCTCTGTGCCTTATTGAACTACTACTGTCCAGCCTAGAATGTTCCTCACCTTCTCTCTATTATAATGGTCTCCCTATAGCATTCCTTCAAGGATAGCCTGCTTTTTAATCATCCATCTTTCTATTATCAACACCGTCCATCTACAATAAATATCTCATTTTCATTTGTTTGATAGTTATCAATAATGTTTTCCTATCTACTTGCAGAGATCAGCAAACTTTCTGTAAAAAACCAGATAGCAAATATTTAGGCTTTGCAGACCATAGGGTCTGTCTCAGTTTCTCAATTCTGTCACATAACATGAAAGCAGCCACAGACAATAAATGAATGGGCCTGGCTATGTCCCCAAAAAACTTTATTCATGAAAATAAGTGACCAGCTTACAAACAGTAGTTTGCCAGCCCTTGTACCAGACAGAGTTTTCGACCATGTTATTATTTTATGCCTGTTAAAAATTCTTTTAAGCTCCATCTTGAACATGACTTTCCCTATAAAAGTTTTGTTTCTCCAACTGCCTATGATCTCTCTCTGAACTCCCAATGAAAATGATCTCTTTATAGCACTTGCTCTCACTGACTTTGTTATAAATACATAAAGTCTCTCCTCTATAAGACAAGGGCTTTGTTATTCATTTTTGCAAATCCCATGGCACATACACACACACACACACACACACACACACACACGTATGTATTTTTTTGTTTTTTGTTTTTGAGACAGAGTCTCGCTCTGTCTCCCTGGATTGAGTAGAGTGGAGTCCGTGTAGTTCACTGCAACCTCAAACTCCTGGGCTCAAGTGATCCCCTTGCCTCAGCCTCACAAGTAGCTGGGACTTATAGACACGCACCATGATGCCCAGCTAATTTTTCTATTTTTTAGTAGAGACAGGGTCTTGTTCTTGCTCAGGCTAGTTTTATTTTTTTTATTTTTAGTTTTTTTGAGAAAGAGTCTCACTCTGTTGGCTGGGCTAGAGTGCCGTGGCGTCAGCCTAGCTCACAGCAACCTCAAACTCCTGGGCTCAAGCAATTCTTATGCCTCAGCCTCCCAAGTAGCTGGGATTACAGGCATGTGCCACTATGCCCAGCTAATTTTTTCTATATATTTTTGGTTGGCCAATTAATTTGTTTCTATTTTTAATAGAGACGGGGTCTCACTCTTGCTCAAGCTGATTTTGAACTCCTGATCTTGAGTGATCTGCCTGCCTCAGCCTCCCAAAGTGCTGGGATTATGGGTATGTGCCACCATGCCAAGCCTCATCTTGATATTTTTTAAGCCTCCATTACTCTATAAATGTATTTTCTCATCCCACCTAGAGTTTGTACTTCAAAATGGGCATAGACAAATAATATTTCATTATATCACTCCCTGAGCAGCTAGCATGATAGCAACATTCATTAAAAAATGGTTGACGCCAGCTATTGAGGAGGGTTGAGCAATACATAGAAAAGGAAATAGGAACTGTTCTGGAAGATATAATTGTAAAACAATTTGCCCTATCTCATAACTTGGTATCAGTTTCTCAGAAAGCCATAAGGACATGTCTGAAAGAAGAGTCAAGAAACTGGCTGGGCGCGGTGGCTCACGCCTGTAATCCTAGCACTCTGGGAGGCCAAGGCGGGCGGATTGCTCGAGGTCGGGAGTTCAAAACCAGCCTGAGCGAGACGGGCATGGTGGCACGTGCCTGTAGTTCCAGCAACTCGGGAGGCTGAGGCAGTAGGATTGCTTAAGCCCAGGAGTTTGAGGTTGCTGTGAGCTAGGCTGACGCCACGGCACTCACTCTAGCCTAGGCAAGAAAGCGAGACTCTGTCTCAAAAAAAAAAAAAAAAAAAATGAAAGTGATGGTCAGATAAAATGGACATTTAAAACATCCAGAGTATATCATAAAAACTTAGAAACAGAGGAGAAAAGTAAAAGTAAATATCTCATTTTATACAAAGTGAAAAGATATATGTTTATTACTGACATTGAAAAATAGAAAACTAGACTCAATTTTCTTCCTTGCAGTGAGATAAAAATAAAAGGTATGGGCCGAGTATGGTGGCTCATGCCTATAATCATAGCACTTTGGGAGGCTGAGGCCAGAGTATCACTTGAGCTCAGAGTTTAAGACCAGCCTGAGCAACAAAACAAGACCCCATCTCTACAAAAAACAGAAAAAGTAGCCAGGCATTCACCTGTAGTCCCAGCTACTTGTGAGCCTGAGGCAGGAGGATCCCTTGAGCCCAACAGCTTGAGGTTGCTGTGAGCTATGACGATATGTCACTGCACTGTAGCCCAGGCAACAGAGTGAGATCCTGTCTCATTCATTCACAAATACGTACATAAATAAATAAAGGTACAGATATAAAAAAAAGGAGAGATGAAAATATCACTTTTATATGTAGCAATTCTAGACAATCTAAGGAAGAACTATTAAAACTAATAATTCAGTAAGGTTGACAATAAAAGACAAACATATGGACTTTCAGTTCTACCAAAAGCTTTACATGGAGGAAGTACATAAGACATTATATTTAAAAAGTGAAGAAGGCAAAGGGATCTAATTGGAAATAAAATCTCTACACTTCATGCAAATTGGTAAAACACTGATATCATCAGACTGAGGTAAATTATGTACGTATATTGTACTAATACCTACAGCAACATCTAAGAAAACCATTCAAAGTAATGTACTCAAACCCCATAAATCAAAATGGAAACAGAGGAAACAAACACAAAATAAATAGTAAAGTGGCAGACTTAAGCCCTAACATATAAATAATTACCTTTAATAACAATTGACTAATTAAACCAATTAACAGAGACTGGCAGAGTTAATAAAAAAGAATAAAAGATCCAACAATATGAAGCTTATAAGAAACTTACTTCAAAGACAGAGGTAGGCTGAAAACAAAAGGCTGAATAAAGATATACCATGCAAACATTAATTTTTTAAAAAAGTAAAATGGCTAATTATTAATATCAGATAAATAGACTTCAGAGCAAACAAAGTAACTAGAGACAAAACAGGACATTACATAATGATTAAAGATTCAATCGACAAGGAAGACATGACAATTCTAAATGTTTATGAATCAATACTTGAGCCTCAAAATATAAGAAACAGAAACTCATAGAGAGAGAATAAGAAGTAGACATAGCCAAAACACAATTATACTCAGAGACATTAGTACCCTACTCTCAGCAATGGGTAGAAGTATTAGAAAATCAGCAAGGATTTAGAAGTTAATGACACATTCAATCTACACAGTCTAACTGACATATGTATTAAGAGAACACTTTATCCGACAACTGCAGAATAAACATTTTTTTCAAGTGTCCGTTGAATATTCACTAAGAAAGATCATATCCTAAACCATAACATAAACCTCAACAAATCAACAAGATTGAAATAATAGAACATGTTCTCTAATCATACTGAAGTCAAACTATAAATCAGCAATAGAAAGTAATAGGAAAATGTCCAAACACTTAGAAACTGAAGAACCACTTCTGAATAATTTGTGGGTCAAAGAATAAATCTCAAGAGAAATTTAAAACCTGAATGATGATGAAAGTATAACATATCAAAACATATGAGACACTAAAGACATATGGAATTCTAAAGCAACACTGAGAAGGAAATTTATATATTAAGTTTACATTAGAAAATAAAGATCTCAAATCAGGATTTTTTTTTTTTTTTTTTAATAAGACAGGGTCTTGCTCTGTCTCTCAGGCTGGAGTGCAGTGGTGCAATCATAGCTCACTGCAACCTCGAACTCCTAGGCTCCAGAGATCCATCCTCCTGCCTCAGCCCCATCCCTCCCACCCCTTCACCCCCAGTAGTCAGGCCAGGCCTGTACCACCACACCTGGCTGCCTGGCTAAATTTTGTTTTGTAAAGACTTGGTCTTAGGCTGGTCTGGAACTCCTGGCCTCAAGTAATCGTCCCACCTTGGCCTCTCAAAGTGCTGGATTATAGGTGTACTCAAATCAGTAATCTAATTTCCTATCTCAAGAAACTAGAAAAAGGCCAGATGCTAGGTAGCTCAGCCTATAATCCTAGCACTTTGGGAGGCTGAGGTGGGAGGATCATTTGAGCCCAGGAGTCTGAGGTTGTAGTGAGCTATAATGCCATACACTACAGCCTGGGCAACAGAGGGAAATTGTCTCAAAACAAAGAGCAAATACACCCCAAATATGCAGAAGAAACAAAGATAAGAGCAAAAATCAATAACAGTGAAAAGAAAACAATCGAGAAAAATCAATGACACAAAGCTGTTTTTTCCAAAAACAAAATCAGTAAAATAGATAAATTTCTAGAAAGACTGACAAAGAAAAATAAAATGATAGAAGACATACATACCTATAACAGGAATGAAACAGGGAATATCACTACAGGTTCTATAGCCATTAAAAGATACAGGTACATGCAAAAAATACAATCACAAGAAATGTGATTGTGTACATTAAAGATGAATTTCATGACATGTGAATTATATCTCAATACAATAAATGCATCCATGCATATATACATATGAATGGACAGTACAATGGACCATTGATCTAAATGGAAAATCTAAAACTATTAAACTTCTACAAGAAAACAGGGGAAGATTCTCACAACTTTAGAGTGAGCAATAATTTCTTAGTAAGATACAAAAAGTACAAACCATGTGGCAGAATAATAAGCTGCCCCCCCAAGTTTCCTTCCTCCTAGTGTGCATTCCCTGAATAACCCTTCCCCCTGAGTGTGGATGGGCCTGACCTAACGTGGTGAGCCCTTTTAAATGGGGGTCTAGAGGTCAGAGACAAGAGAAGTAGGAGAGATTCAAAGTTGCAGCGGATGTTCTCCTGCAGTCCTTGAAGCAGCAGCTATGTGGCAGGAAATGGTGGGTAGCCTCCAGGAGCTGAGAATAGCCCTCCCAAGAAAGCAGGGACCTACATCCTACAATTACAAGGAATTAAATTTGGCC